ACTCTGGCACAGGATCGGGAACGTTGGAAGCACTGTCTGGCGCGTCTGCCTCCGCGACCCGAAAGGAGAAACGGTCATGGAAGATTATGACGATGATGAGCTACGTGTAGTTTCAGACAATCAGAAACCGCCACTAATGCTGCCGTTTTAGAAGCAGTGATGAAATGATCAAGATAGAGCTGATCAATACGTTCAACTCTTGAGTCTTGGAGTGCAACCCTTTCCTTCAGCTATGCAAAGACTATGCAAATCAAACAGAGAGCTGTTCTCACGTCGGCATGATTACTATCGCAATGCCAAATAAAGGCAAGACGTGTATGCATTTCAGCACCGTCTAAAATAAATATATATTTTCTAGGAAATATAACTGTTTATCTTCCATACTGAATCCTCATAAATTTCACTGAAGGCGACAACTAGTAAATCTGACTTCGAAGGGTTAAGGATCAGTCGAAATACCCATCTGCCAATTAATTCTGCTCTATTGTAGGAAATCCATGCAAATGGATCTAAGCGAATAAGCACCTCAGGCCTCAAATTATTATCTCTGGTACAACACTCAACAAATTCACTTACTGCCGACTTACGACAGTACTACTGACATAAAAACACCTGCCTCATCACAAAACTCATCAAAATTTATGGCAGGTGATTAACACCTGAAAAATTACTTGCTTATACAAAACATCTGGCATTAATGTGATTTGGAATCCATACGACTCAGCTTCCCCAGACAATTGGAAAACTTGTTGAAGCAACTGCACCCACGCACGACCCGAAAAGTAAAAGAAGTCTTTGAAATTACTAACTTCGGCTACTTACTACAAAAGCAAGTGTAATCTGTGTTCTTGCGATGAACGTGGAATATGTACCGTGTGCATGAACGAAACGCATATCAAAATTTGCTCTATCCTTAACTGTTTCGATCGAATATTTCATGCTAGCCCCATAATTCCATGAATCTGCATCTTTGGTGCATAGAATTACAAAAAATAGATTCACATATTTTGTTCAGTACATATTCGATGTTTTCTGCCACTGTGCATCGACACAGACTAGTTATGACAACGTAACACCAATGTTCAGAAATTCGTAACAGCCTGTGGAGAGGTAATTAAGGCAAAACGGTGTTTCCACAATAATTGCGTATTGCCCTAAACGACCTGTTTTAGGAACAGCCTACTAATGACATAGGCAGTCTGTTCGTCAATAAATATATCGTGGTACATAAAAATCTGCTACGCAATAACGCCAACATTACGAATGTTTGTTTTTTCTGTTGCAAAGTGAGAGAAGCGGCCTTGGGGACTCTGTATCATTTAGTCCTTATACCAGTCTGTCACAAATAAACGAGCATTCATCAAAGTCAGTATTCAAAACTATGTCATTCTAAATTGAGATGTGTTCAGATAACATTCTCGATACATGAAATCAATAACGTTTTGCCACTGTGATTAATTATTCTTGAACTTATTACTTAATGGCAAGATTCAGCTATTTGATCCAGTATGATTAATTCGACGTCTTACATATCAGCGTAAGAACTGGCCCGTCGAAAAGTTTCAACATGATTTACATAGCAGTCCATACTGTTTTGCATAGATTATCAGTCACATGTGATGCATCAAGACCCCGTATAATCGGCAAGCGAGATTAAATAAACTCTGCCTCCTCAATACACCTCGGTGTCTGCCTCTGGGTTGTCAAAAAGGTATGTTTATAACTGCTGGAGGGGGCACTGTGAACAGAAACCTTTGTTGGTAGTCTTGTCGCAGTCGCCACATGATCGGAATATTGGTTCTACGACGGTCGATTACGTTAACCGAAATTCAAACGAAATCATGCCATTTGATGCTGATGAATTGTTTCCGGCTCCTCGTAACTGATTTTAATATCAAAATATGATATTTAATGCTACCACCTTTCATAAATATTAAAATCTTTTAATTAAAACTATTCCCCAACCTGTGCGCTGCTGTTTAAAGGGATCGCTGTGAAAGACCGTAATGAAAAACCCGAGGTATTCATCGCGACGATACCGGTCTAAGTATTTCAGGGAGATGAGGTATGGATGTCGTTCACCTCTGGCTTACATCGAATACTTGTTTATTACTTACACTGTTGACAATAGAACGGCGAATGGTTTGAGAATCCTGG